CTCTTTGCGGTGATGGAGTGGATAGGTTTAGTTAGGGGCTGACAATTCATTTATCATCTCCAGCTGCCCAACCTTGCAGTAAATGAACAATAAAGCACCTCGTCCCCGCTGAACATTTTCTTTTTTTTTTTCCGTGTGTGTGTTTTACGTACAAGAGCATAAATTGTACGTGTGTGTGAAGATAAACACGGCGTTCTCATCAGACCCCTCCGAGCACATCGCACTGCGGCTGCGGCTGTGAGCACAATGGAGGAGCCGTATAATAAGCAATTCGGGGAGCTGGACTATTTTGCTATTTACTATTATGCTATTGTGCATATTTTGTTTAGGAATAAAAGAAAAGATAATATATATCCTGTATATATCAGAATTTCTGAATTGAGAAAGCAAGCTGGATGATCAGCTAAAACATCTTCCAAGAAAATTACGGCAAGCCCACTTGCCGTGATTTATTTTTTACAGATATACTATGACCAGGAAGAATGAGAACCTTCACAGACAAGTCACCACCTGGATTTAGGTAAGCAACCTTCCATTGGATAATAGGTCTTGGTTCTATTGGATAATAGGTCTAGGTTCCACTGGATAATAGGTCTAGGTTCCACTGGATAATGGGTCTAGGTTCCACTGGATAATGGGTCTAGGTTCCACTGGATAATGGGTCTAGGTTCCACTGGATAATGGGTCTAGGTTCCACTGGATAATGGGTCTAGGTTCCACTGGATAATGGGTCTAGGTTCCACTGGATAATGGGTCTAGGTTCCACTGGATAATGGGTCTAGGTTCCACTGGATAATGGGTCTAGGTTCCACTGGATAATGGGTCTAGGTTCCACTGGATAATGGGTCTAGGTTCCACTGGATAATGGGTCTAGGTTCCACTGGATAATGGGTCTAGGTTCCACTGGATAATGGGTCTAGGTTCCACTGGATAATGGGTCTAGGTTCCACTGGATAATGGGTCTAGGTTCCACTGGATAATGGGTCTAGGTTCCACTGGATAATGGGTCTAGGTTCCACTGGATAATGGGTCTAGGTTCCACTGGATAATGGGTCTAGGTTCCACTGGATAATGGGTCTAGGTTCCACTGGATAATGGGTCTAGGTTCCACTGGATAATGGGTCTAGGTTCCACTGGATAATGGGTCTAGGTTCCACTGGATAATGGGTCTAGGTTCCACTGGATAATGGGTCTAGGTTCCACTGGATAATGGGTCTAGGTTCCACTGGATAATGGGTCTAGGTTCCACTGGATAATGGGTCTAGGTTCCACTGGATAATGGGTCTAGGTTCCACTGGATAATGGGTCTAGGTTCCACTGGATAATGGGTCTAGGTTCCACTGGATAATGGGTCTAGGTTCCACTGGATAATGGGTCTAGGTTCCACTGGATAATGGGTCTAGGTTCCACTGGATAATGGGTCTAGGTTCCACTGGATAATGGGTCTAGGTTCCACTGGATAATGGGTCTAGGTTCCACTGGATAATGGGTCTAGGTTCCACTGGATAATGGGTCTAGGTTCCACTGGATAATGGGTCTAGGTTCCACTGGATAATAGTATAATAAGCAATTCGGGGAGCTGGACTATTTTGCTATTTACTATTATGCTATTGTGCATATTTTGTTTAGGAATAAAAGAAAAGATAATATATATCCTGTATATATCAGAATTTCTGAATTGAGAAAGCAAGCTGGATGATCAGCTAAAACATCTTCCAAGAAAATTACGGCAAGCCCACTTGCCGTGATTTATTTTTTACAGATATACTATGACCAGGAAGAATGAGAACCTTCACAGACAAGTCACCACCTGGATTTAGGTAAGCAACCTTCCATTGGATAATAGGTCTTGGTTCTATTGGATAATAGGTCTAGGTTCCACTGGATAATAGGTCTAGGTTCCACTGGATAATGGGTCTAGGTTCCACTGGATAATGGGTCTAGGTTCCACTGGATAATAGAGCTAGGGTCCTTTGGATAATAGGTCTAGGTTCCTTTGGATAATAGGTCTGGGTTCCACTGGGTAATAATGGGTCTTGGTTCCGTTGGAAATTACCTTCAGATTCCATTGGATAATAGATCTAGGTTCCTTTCGATAATAGGTCTGGGTTCTACTGGATAATGGGTCTAGGTTCCATTGGATAATAAGTCTAGGTTCCATTGGATAATAGGTCTAGGTTCAGCAATGTTATGTGTCCAAAAAAATGTGGTCAGCTGACGACCTGAATATACTGAATGATCAGATTTTTCCATCAATGGATTGTTTTCTTCTCTGATGGCACATTGGGCATATTCCAGGATGACAATGCCAGGATTCATCGGGCTCAGATTGTGAAAGAGTCGTTCAGGGAGCATGAGACATCTTTGTCACACATGGAATTGGCCCGGACAGAGTCCAGACCTTAACCCCATTGAGAATCTTTGGGATGTTCTGGAGAAGACTTTACGCAGAGGTCCGACTCTCCCATCATCACTACAAGATCTTGGTGAGAAATTAATGCAACTCCGGATGGAGATAAATGTTGTGACATTGCATAAGATTATCGAAACTATGCCACGGTGAATGTGTGCCGTAATCAAAGCTAAAGGCGGTCCAACAAAATATTAGAGTGTATGACTTTTTGGACAGGCCGTGCATACAGTATACACTGAGTGGCTGGATTATTATATACACTGAGTGGCCGGATTATTATATACATTGAGTGGCCGGATTATTATATACACTGAGTGGCCGGAAGTGTAGGGGGTTCATAATAATCTGGCCGCTCACTGTATATTATCTATATCAATCATTCTTAAACTTTTGATGCTGGATAAGAAGACCTAGCTTCCAAATCATCCTTCTGATTCATGCCAAAGGTGTTCTATGGGGTTGAGGTCAGGGCTCGGTGCAGGCCAGTCAAGTTGCTCCACCCCAAACTCCCCCATCCATGTCCTTATGGAGCTGGCTTTGTACACAGGGGACAGTCATGGTGGAACAGAAAAGGGTCTTCAAACTGTTACCATAAGGTTGGAAGATCACAATTGCCTACAATGTCTTTGTATGTTGTAACATTAACAGTATCCTTCACTGGAGACGCCTGAACTGCATAATTTGGTGGGGTCTCCACCTACATTTGGCCATATACTGTAGTTGTAAATAAATATATATTGGTCTTTTTTTTTTTTTAAATACATAGTGTTGCTGAGGAGTATTACATAGCTGCAGGATGCAGAGGAAAATGCATGAAAGGCAGAATCAAGCATTTGGTGTTTATCAGTATCTGGATAAGACAGAGGGGACATTTCCATACCACAGCAAGTGACACATACTGACAGTGGTGTCACAAGGGGGGTGCAGCTCTCACCCTGGTGAAAACCATTGGAGGGGTGACACCAAAATGGCTGACAATCATTTTGGTGTCACTCCCTCTAAAAAGTCAGGCATGTCTCCGCTCTGGGTGACACCCGGCCTCTGGACGCCCCTGAATACTGACACCCTATGATCGATCCAGGGGTCTCCCCCAACTAATTCTTGCTCTTGATGTATACATTTTCTAGAAAAACATCTCATTTGAAACGTTTAACGCATTGGTAATATCTGAATAGGTCATTCCATTTCCGGAACGCTGTACAGCGCACCATGGGTGGCACAGAAATTATTATAATCTTCTTGTCTAATAAAACATGTCACAATAAGCTCTAATATGAGGGCAGATTTTGCGCAGTGCACTGCAAGGCATGTGCGTAGAAGCTGCACTGCTTTGGTGCATTGGGGTGCCAGCATCAGCGACGTAACCAGAGTTCCGGGCACCCGGGGCAGAATTTTTTTTTCGCCCCCCCCCCATTATATAAACAACCACTGGAACTGTACCCTGCACCTCCCCTCCACACACACATGTTTTTATTTTAATTTTTCAAATTTTAATATTTTATTTTTTTAGAAACTTTCTCATTTTTTTAAATTAATTTTTATTTATTAATTAATTTTTTATTAAATATTTTTATTTTTTACTTTACTTTTAGGGGCTTCGGGGAAATATTGGGGGTCTAAACAGACCCCTGATATTTCCCTTTAAAAATAGAAAAAGAGATTGAGGACACAGAGTCCTCAATCTCTTTTTCTGTGTCCCCTGTTATCAATGAACAGGAATCCTTTATGAGTGTTCCTGTTCATTGATAACATGGTATGTTTACTATAACTACAATTATGAATGGACAGGAGGGGATATAGATCACTCCCATTCATTCATAATTGAGGATATAGTATACATACCAGGTCCTCAATTATGTACACACACTCAGCGATCACTGATCACTGAGTGCTTGTACCCGTTCTCCTCTCTGACACACACTGTCATTGGAGGCTGCAAGAGGAGAGCCCAGCCTCCTGTGACAGCGCTGGCTGTCTCCGCCCCCACACCGCTCTGCTGCACTGTGATAGGCGGCCGAGCGGTGTGGGAGGAAAGACACCGGCCGCTCACAGCGCTCGTCCCGCAGCGCTCGGCCGGCTGTCATTTTCTCTCTGATTCCTTTCATCCCCGCTGGGCACTGCTCTGTGTCCCAGCGGGGATGAAAGGAATCACGGCCGGGCCGACAAAACGGCAGGAAAATGTCACTTTCGGCATTTAGCCGAAAGTGCCATTTTCGGCCGGCGCCCCCCCTTCACTTTTCGCCCGGGGCCCGCGCCCTTGCTGCCCCCCCCGGTTGTTACGCCACTGGCCAGCATGCTGGTAGGGGACAGGCTCCTCTACTCAGGCTGCGGCTGCCTTTGCAAATGAATGGAGCTAACGCACGATGCATTTTAGTTTGTTACTCAGACCAGTAAAAGATGAACTCTGATTGGCTGGGACGGGTCACTGCATTTTACAAAGTCTTAATCCGCAAGGCAAAAAAATAAAATAATTCTTACTGTACACATTCCATCCTTTGTTATCGACAGCGAGAAATCGGAGGAAAAATCCAGGTCTTTCGTGGCGGTCATCTGGCAATCAATATCCTGAAAAAGGGTAAAAGAACAAAAATCAAACCTCAAAATAATAACCGCCTGAGGATTTAAAATATAAAAGATATCTCCCTAAAGATTTCAACACATTTACTAGGACGCATCTCCTGTGTCCAGTTCCTCTCCCTCCGCCGACATTCAACCTGCCGCTAAAACCTGCAATTACCGGCTGTCAAAACAACAGCCAGGAATAGCTCCGAATAACACAGCAAAATGCAGCCACTGCTGTGTATAATGACACTTGCACTTAGTCTACAAGTGTCACGGAGTACATACAATGTAACAATGTCTAGTTTGATAGTATTTACTATTACATTACATGGGTAGCTCAAAGATGTGAACTTTGATTTGCATACGAGATCAGTTAAAGAACCCTTACAGGTAAAAAAGATTTTAAAAAAGTAAACACCATGCACTCTCATTTAAAGTAGAACTAAAAGCCAAAACAGTTTTAGTTTTGGATAGAATGCAGAAAGATTGGAACACCTGTCAGGTTTTTATTGCTCTATTTGGCTGGTGACCGTTCTCACTGAAAGTGAAAGAAAATCCCAAATATTAAGTTGTCACCATAAATTAAACAGAGGAGAAATGTTCCAACGGGGACACTAGTTCTGGTGACTATTGTGACAGCAAAGGATTTCCTCTCACTTACTGTTGTGGCTGTTGGACAGTGGGTGCCGGAGGGGTTTCCTTTCCTCCTGGGTTGATTCTGGCCTGGTTATGCCGGCCTTGTCCCCAGTTGTATGAGGGATCTCCCTCTGGTGCTATTGCCTTCTGGTAGGGATGGGGCTGCGCTTGTCTGGCTGGAGGGTTCGGGGAGCGCAGAAGCCCGTGGTGATGTGCCCCCTGGGGGTGGTGTCCCAAGGGGGTGCGGGACCCCACTGTGAGTCACCTGCACTAGGATACGGCACCTAATGCTTATTCTGCACCACGCCTCTTGGCCAGGCCTTCTGGCTAGCCCGGGGCAATTTTTATACCTTGCCCTGATGGCCCGCCTGGTTAGTGCACTGGCACCTATTTATTTTAAGCACTCTGTTTATGCACGTCTGAACACTTTTGACTCCACAGATTGACAGAGGGTGTGGGTACCTTCGGGCCCGTCCTGATGTTAGAGGGGAGGTTCTGTGGCCTTCACGGGCTTCTCTGCCTTCCTCCACATGGGGGGGGGGGGGGGGTTTTTTTCGGGGCCCC